AAGTGGGTGCAATCATCATCCTATTGAGAAATCTCAATAGTAAATGGGGTCTTTGTAATGGTACCAGACTTATTATCAAAAGATTACAACCTAACATTATTGAAGCTGAAGTAGTAACAGGATCCTGTAGTAACAGGATCTGCAGAGGGAGAGGTTGTTCTGACTCCAAGAATTAATTTGTCCCCATCTGACACTGGCCTCCCATTTAAATTGATTCGACAACAGTTTCCCATGATGCCAGCATTTGTGATGATTACTAATAAGCCACAAGGACAAACTCTAGACAGAGTAGGAATATTTCTACCTGAACCTGTTTTTGCACATGGTTAGTTATATGTTGCTTTCTCTCAGGTTCGAAGATCATGTGATGTTAAAGTTAAAGTTCTAAATACTTCAACACGAGGGAAATTAGTCAAGCACTCTGAAAGTGTTTTCACTCTTAATGTGGTAGACAGGAGATATTAGAATAAGTTTAATCACTGTATCAGTCATTGTTTGCATCACTGTTGTTTTTATATCATGCCTCTATTGTTGTTATATCCTTTTGTTACTGTTTATTAATAAATTTATATATTATTTTCATATACATTTTACTAATTTCCTTTCATTTCTCACACTTCTATTATAGAGAAATGGCAAATAGCAATATTAAAATATTTCCTCTAATTAATTCCCTTTTAATGTGCATGAATTTTGTGCACTGGGCCACTAGTTTAGCAATAAAAGGAACGAATTATTCATACACACAACAACATGAATGGACCTGAAAAGCCAGTGCCCCCTCCCCCAAGAAACAGAGCACATACTGTATGACTTTATTTCTATAAGATTCTAGAAGTGAACTAAGCTATAGTGACAGCGGGCACATCAGTGGTTACCTGGGGATGGGCGGGTGTCAGGTGGGCCAGAGGCAGGAATCACAAAGGGACAAGTGGAAACTTTGGGGATATGGGCACATTCATTATCCTGATAGTGTTATTGGTTTTACAGGTGTGCACTTGTCAAAACTTATTAAACTACGTATTTTAATTATGCATAATATTGAAATTAAATATATTTCAGCAGAAATTTTCAAAAATAAGTCAGTGGATTAAGAAAATTAGTAAAATTTTAATGATAGATCTGAACAAAGCATGGAGATGACAGCACAGAGACAACGTTATTGAAAATAGAGGTTAAGAGGCATGGAAGCCCTAGTCGGTGTGGCTCAGTGGATAGAGCGTTGGCCTGTGGACCGAAGGATCCTGAGCTCGGTTCTGATCAAAGGCACAGACCTTGGTGGCAGGCTCCTCCCCAGCCTGGACCCTGGTCAGGGCGGGTACAGGAGGCAACCAATTGATGTGTTTCTGTCATATTGATATTTCTCTCTGTCTTGACCTCTCCCTTCCACTCTCTAAAAATCAATGGAACGATATCCTTGGGTGAGGATTAAAAAAAAAAAAAAAAGAGGCGTGGAAGACTGAGGAGACCTATAATACATTATTTTAGAGTTCCAGAAAGAAAGGAGAGAGAACGGGGCAAGGGCAGTGTTTGAGCAATGAGGCCTGAGAATTTTCTAGGTAGACATCAATCCATAAATCATAAAAGCCCGATGGATTCCTAATGGAATAAATAAAAGTAACACATACTTCTCTACATCAAAATACAAGTGTGGCACACCAAAGATTAAAAGGAGATCTGAAATGAAGCCAGAGATGGAAGACCTTCAGAGGACAGAGCTGACTGCCCTACCACATGGCACAGCCTTAGGATAGCTTTGCATGCTAAAGACAAGGCCAACCTAGGACTGCATACCCAGCAGAAATATTTCTCAAGAATAAGGATGTTCTGGAAATAAACAATGAAATAAATGTACTTTCAGACTGATGAAGTAAATGTGGTTTTTATCCTCTCAAGGGAATCCTTAAAAACATGCCTTAGACAGAAGAAAGCAACCCCAGAAGGAAGGTCTGCTACGTGAAAAGAATGAAGACTCAGGACATCTGCAGTGAGGTGGGAAAATACAAATGAATGAGTTCAAACAGACAAATAACAGACTTGGAAAAAATATTTGCAATATATGTATATAACAGGCAAATAATACAGACAGAATTAAAAAAGGTGCAGAATCCTACAGATTCTGGATGGGCAAAACATTTAAACATCTGCTAATAACAGACCTTAGTAAGAAAGTGGGCGAGGGCTGCCGCTTGCTCCCAGAGGAGGAAAATGGCCCTGCCATGGTGGAGGGACTTGGTAATAACTTGTAAAGTTGAAAATGTGATTGCTTTATCATCTAGCAATTCCACCTTTAAGTATATTTCTTAGACCACCTCTTGCACTGTGCCTACGGAGGCATGCATACTCATGCCCATCGCAAAATAAGTCAAAAATTTTGGAAATAAATGAAATGTTGTACTCATGAGATGAGCACTCTACAGCAATGAAGGGAATGAATTTGAGCTGTATCTTCAGAAACACAACACTGAGTTTAAAGTCAGGCAGAACAATAAATATAGAGTGATATTTATATACATATTTTAAAGACAGAAATCAACATTATTATGTGCAAGTAGTGGATACCTCAATTTTTCAAGTATGAGAAGATGGATTGAAACAATTAGTGCCAAATACATAAAACTACATCATTATCTTCTGTGTTTTATTTATTTTATTTTTCACAACATATGATGTATAGAGTAACCGTTTATGTGATTTTTTTAAAGGCTCAGAAGCAAATATAACAAAATGTTAACATTTGTTCACACTGGATCATTACCCAGGTGTCTATCATATATTTTCTGAGCTTTCCTGTATTTTTTTATGTTTTATTTTCCAAAACAAGAAAAAAGAGAACAGATACTCTGATACAGAAAGCTCACCATTCTCTGTGAGCAAAGGCCTGGCGGGGGGGTGGGGGGGGTCTCGAGTACAGTATTTCGTTTTCTATAGAACATTAAGACAACTGAAGTAAAATGGGAAAGAGGATTAAAAATATAGGCTTCTTTCTTGAGGAGAGAACACAGAGGTTGATAGATGATAGAGATGGATATATAAGTTGAGACATACAGGGTGTCCCTACAAAATGTATGTGCACTTTGAATGATTATAAAGTCAGTGTTTATAAACATACAATTCATTTTCAAGATTTAAAAGAATCTTACAGAAATGATTTTTTTTTTTATCATTTCCATGTTTTTGAACTGATGACCATTCTGGTCCAGGCACTGCTGATAACGCGAAGCAATGGAGGGGGATCAAGAATCATTTCCTTTGGTATTTATATGCCCTCAATTCATTGACTGTTGACAGTTTTGTGCTGTAAACTTTATCTTTTATGTATCTCCCATAAAAAATAGCCTAGTGGCACTTTACGATAAATTTTCTTTGTTCAAAGCTTAGTCTGGTTTCATCCATTATTTCAAATCAGTTAAACCTGAAAAGAAGTGAAAATTAAGTGAGCTATCAGCTGTCCAAGTGTTTACAGTTTGGGGACACGCTATCTATATGCACACATACAGTCATGTGTGTGCGGGTGGATGGACGGACAGATGGATGGATAGGGTGGCAGGCAGAAGAATGGTGCCCAGCCCTTCATCCCCAGATCCTGTCAAAGTGTTACCTTCCATGGCAGAAAGGACTTTGAGGAGTAATTGTGGGTACAGTAAGATGATGAGATTAGTGGGGTGAGCCCCATTTACCACCGGAGTCTTTCAAAAGGAGAAAACGGCGGGAGATTGGGTCAGAGAGAGGGCGGGCGCTGGGAAGGACAGGATGTGGTGTGGGCAGAAGCATGGCTCCTCAGGACGCTCCCGGTCAGCAAACCAGCTTCACCAGGGATGCCAGGAAAGCAGACCCTCAGCCCCCACCCCCAGACCCACTGAGTTCCACTCAGCATCACAGGAAACTCCAGAAAACTGCAGGCAACTCTGGTGCCCACTGCCGGGGGCCGGGGGTGGGGGGCTCTGTCTGGCATACAGGCCCCTGGGAGGTCACCTGACTTCTGTGTGTCTCAGTTCCCCTTGAGAAAAGTGGGGCATCATGTGCCCTGTACAGAACAGCCCTCAGCGATGGCCACTCTGGATGCCTGATCCTGGCAGACACTCAGGGCAGGGGCCGGGGCCTCGGAAGGGGGTGCCTGCAGCCACGGAGGGCGGAGCCGCTGCAGGGCCGCGTCAGGAGTTCGCGTTGCCTCTGGAAGCAGAGCTAGGCTTTGGATCAATTACTGACAGTCATGGGGTGCAGAGGCTGAGCATGCCTGGAAGGGGAGCTGTTGGGGGCCGGAGGGTCTCTGTTAGAGAATGGGAGAGGGCCAGCGACACCGCACCGAGTCACCGGGTGGGAGAGGAGGAGATTGTGCGGCAAGGAGACCGAAAGCTTCCTGGGGGTCTAGAGAGGGCAGTGGCTGGATAAAGAGCTGGCTTCCTAACTCATACGCCACGGGCAGCACGAAAGGTTATGAGCAAAGGAGCAAGACAATCAAAGAATGGTATTAAAACCCACACCCCGCCACGTGCTGCCTGTGTATTATTCATGAGCATGTGGTAAAGAACAGTCTGGAAGGGCATCGAATGCTGACGCTGCCTGTCTCTGGTGGAGAGATTACCAGGAGTTTTATTGTCTTCTCTTTGCTCATCTGTATCTTCTAATTTTTCTGCAAAAGACCTGCATCGCTTGAATAATTAAAAAAGCAGTAAACGCTGTAATAATTAACACACTTTCTCCTGAGGACTTAAACTTGGATGGGTGTAGTTCAGGTCAGTTATTTCAAATAGTCGCTGGGGTCCTGGCCTTGGAAAGGTGCCACTGAAGACTACGCAGCCAGAGGGCTGTGGGGGCCAGCCGGGTCCTGTCCCCTTGAAAGCCCAGGCCCTGGGTCTTGGCAGGAACCCTTTCCCTGGAGCACAGAGGCGCCTTTTGAATCCCAGGGGATGTTTTTCCAGGGGTTTAGTGAGGCCAAGGTCTGTAGTTACCAACACGACAGGCACCTGCGGAAAGGACAGTGGTGGCCAAACACCTACCTTCTCAGTGCTTTCTGCTTGCTGCTCCCCCGGCACATCTTCGCCCTCCTCCGAGGTGGTCCCTTCGTCCAGCCCGGCTCAGACCCCGGGTCCCCGGATGTCATCCCTGGGGCTGTTGGGCAGGAGAGCTGAAAATACCAGGCACGTTGGCATCATATTGCTCAAAGCCCTCGGGTGGGGACAGTCCTGGAGGGCTGTGTCTGCACACAGGACACCTATCTGGGGAAGTCAGGGCACGGAAGTGCTGCATAGCCAGACAGTGTAAGTGTTCCTCGGAGGGACCTAGGACTGCCCGGCGGGTCCACAGAGGAAGGCCCGGATGTGTGGTGTTCACTGGAGGCCTGGGGAATGGCACGCCGGCTCTTCTCCATCCCCCAGTCTCCCTCCCCAGGAACCCCTATGCCCAATACCTCCTGTCTCTCGGAGAAGGAAGGCTAACCCAGGCTTTGCAGGCCCCTCTCTCGGGCCCAGCGCCTTCTTTATCACCCGCCAGGCGCAGGAGGAAGAAGGCGGCCCCTCCCTCTGGCTCCACTGCCCGCTGGGAGAACAGCCTGCCGGGCTCTGGGCCGCCCCTGTCATTGTCCCCACCGTGACATTAGCACTGAGGTCCCCGCACCCTCGTCTGTTGCCCTGTCTGAGACCTCCCGAATGGGACAACACCCCCCATTATGAAATCCAGTGGCGTGGGATCCCTCCCAACGGGACTGTGGACTGTGGACTAACTGTTCAGTCACCAGGCAGGGACTCACCCCCACGCCCCCTTGCCTGGAGTCTATCTCGCAATAAGAGATTCTGGCTGATAATCTTAGATGACCCAGAGAGCTCTCTTAGGCAGCGTTCATTTCACATGTTGCCTCTGTTACCAGGAAGCTCAGAGTTCGATTTATGTCTAGTTAGGAAAACTATCTCACCCAGAGTCTTGGGTACAATTAATTCTTCCTTTGAAACTGTTTTGCATGATTTTCTTTTGTTTGGCATTTGGGGCCTTTGTTCTCTCCCATCCCCACCCCCAGGTGTGGCAGCCACTTCCCTGGAGGACAGACTGGGAAGACGTTCTAACGGAGGCAGATGCCATGGGACTGCGTCACCCTTCTTCTCCATTGTGGTACGTCCTACCTGCTTGGCAGTGCCCTCAGCCCGGGGCCCGGGGGCAAAGCTGGGTTACCTTCCATGGCTGCGTCTCCCCTCCTCCTGCAGGACTGGTCCCAGTCCGCCGTCCCGACTCTGCCTTGCTCACCGGCCGGACATCTGCACCCTGGGCCGGGGCACTGCTCCCAGGGCAGTGCAGCGCCCAGTACGCGGACGTGGCCCTCTCCTTCTGCTCCCTGGGCAGAGGCAGGCTGCCGCTCAAGCAGCACCAGGTGAGCCGGGGCTCGGCCCGCAACAAGGGGAAGGGGCCCTGGGGCCCGCAGAGGCCCGAGCTCTCGGAGATCCTGCTCCAGGCCCGCTCAGGGCAGCCCGAGGGCAGGGGGGCCGGTAGGATGGAGCTGGGCTCGAGGGGGCGGCAGGGACGGTGCCCCGCGAGGGGCCCTGGAGACCCTGCCACTTCCCTGCTGAGTGTCCAGGGGCTCAGGACACCCCCAGAGGGCCAGGCCCTTGCCCACATGCTGCCCACACAGAGCTGTCCAGCGTCTCGGGTCTCACTCCTCCCGGGGTCACAAGGAGGGGTGGGCAGGGCAGAGGCTGTCTCCCTGGGGACCCCAACACTCCAGCCCGGAGACTCCCCGGCCGCGGGGGTGCTGGTGTCCAAATCTCCTTTCTCTTCTCCTGGTACCTCCTTTCTCCTGTCCCACAGCCTGGGCCAGCTGGAGTCCTCCCCGAAGTTGTTGGCTCCACCTGGGGCCAGGCGGGTGGCTGGGAGGGTCCCCAGCCCTGGCCCAGCAGAGGAGGTCGGGTCCTGGGGCAGCTCGCTCCTGCAGAGAGGGCCCTGGCTGCGCTCCGGGTCACCAGCCAGCAGCTGCGGGGTCTCTCCCTGCGGTAACCTGAGCAGGTACTTGGGGGGGAAGGTGGTGTCTGAAGGCTGGGCAGGCAGGGAGGCGGTGCCCCCAGGGGCTCCAGCTGCAGGACCACAGACCGGCGCCTTGGGCCCGGGCCCCGCAGGTCGCAGGGCCACCAAGGGCGCAGAGAAAGATGTACCAGAGGCCCCCCTGCCGTCGGCACTCGTGTGCAGCCTGTCCCCAGAGTCACTGTCCTGGTTCAAGGAGGGTGGGGAGCTGTCCTGCGCTGGGCCCCCGGGGGCCTGGTCTCTCACTCCCAGAGACCCCAGCTGCTCCACCCGCAGCTTCTTCTTCTCCGAGGGCAGCTTGTCCCCTGCAGGCTGGGGCTCCCCAGAGCTCCGGCTGGGCGGTGTCGGGACCGCGAGGGCCTGCTGCCAGGGCCCCTGGGTGTCCCCGCCACTCCTGGGGCCTCCTTCCAGCTTGGGGTCTGGAAAAACCAGCCTGGGAGCCTCCAGGTCCCCACCTTTGAGGGGACGAGAGACGGGGGGCAGCTGACTCCCCAGCTCCGGCCTCCCATTTGGATGAAGTACAAAGCTCGTGCTGTGCAGACACCAGGGTTCCTGGATGCTGAGGGCGGGAGGTGACGGGGCCCTGCCCACCCCGGGCCCTTCACTGCCTCTTGCTCTGGCCACTGGCTCCCTCTGCTTGGGGGGCTTGGTCACCAAGAAGCCTCCTGCGGCTGGTGGACTTTCCCCAGGCCCTGGCCTGGCCACCACAGAAGTGTCCCCACAAGCAGGGGTCCTCCCGTCCTGAGAAGGGGCTGCGCCCTCGCCCCCCACCGCCTCCTCCAGCACAGGCAGGTCCGGCTCTG